GTCTGAACTTTCCACGGAGCTATCCAAGGAGTTGAACATTATCCAATGAGTTGAACATTATACACCAATAGGCCCAGGACCTTGGATAGCTCTTTTAAATCTCAGATGGGATTTTCACAGACCCAAAGGCTACCAGACACCACTGTTTCAGAGCAAACCTGACTTTCAAGACCTAGCAATATACTCATGCAAGCATTCCAGGCAGCACTGCTTTTCATGATAATCCCATTTACTGTGCAAAAAAAAAAGTAATATTAAAGACAGTTTGGTCCAAGACATTAAAATCTACTCTACTGGGGCTGTGCTATGAGAAAATGTTCGTAAGAATTGAGATCAAAAAGATTGGATCCTGCTGCTGCACAGCTTAACTAAGCTATGAAAAAATATGCAGAGATTTCTCATTAATGCATGCTTTTAAAAGTTCTTAATAGTCACAGTAAGAACGGCAACGAAATTGTCCCTTCCAGTTTTAGCACATTATAGATGTCAACCCGCATTTCATTTTACATTTGCAATCAGATATGCATTGATGTAATTATAAATGTACACTCTTTCTGGAGCTATAGGGGAAAAAAGAGATTTGCTGCAAAACTGGACCCACAAAACAGAACTTGGAAAATTCTGGTGTGAAACAATATCATACGAAAGCTGACTGGTACAACCTGGGGATCACAACCAGATACAGTGAAGACATCTGCACTTGCGCTTTGCTACTCTGCAGCTGAGTACGGATGCCCAGTATGGAACACATCTTACACGCTAAAACAGTGGATGTGGCTCTTAATGAGATATGCCACATTATTACAGGATGTCTACACCCTACACCTCTGAAGAAATTATACTATTTAACTGGTATTGCACCACCTGACATCTTCCAGGAAGTAGGAGCCAATACTGAAAGGACCAAGGCGGTGACATCTCCGGCCCATCCTCTGTTCGGATATCAACAAGCACACCAATGCCTTTAATCAGGAAATAACTTTCTAAGATCTACAGAGATACTTTCAGAAACACCTCAGCAAGTGAGAATCCAAAAGTGGCAGGCTAAAACCTGCAACCTCAAGCCTCAAACCTTACAGCCCTGCGATTCCAAACAATGCCATCAAACTGGCTAGAGGGAAGATACAGAGGGATCCCCCATGCCCAACGACTTTGCATTTGTGGCACAGGGGAAATAGAAGACCTAACACACTATTTGCTACACTGCCCCTTGTACAATGACCCTAGGAAAAATCTCCTAGGATCACTCTTGGAAGAAAGGGCATCATGGCAACAATCTGCAGTGATCTGCGACTTGCTAGCAGATCATTCTAAAAATATAACACTAAAGGTTGCCACATTCACAAGCGCAGCCCAAAAGATCAGAGCCAAAGTAGCAAAATCCATACTGGGGATCAGAAATGGAAACGGTTTGGAATGACACAAAGCAGACACTGTTATTGTCATGTTTCTGCCTTCATAATTTTAAAGAACTTGCTTTAGTTTTAATTCTTGTTACGTTTTAAGGTTTATATTGGAAAGTGTTTATAAAGTTAGTATTTTACTGATGTCATGGCCTATGGCTAGTACAATAAACAATTCATTCATTCATTCAAATGAGAGACTCTCTCCTGGGCACACAGAAGACTGTGCAACTTGAAAGTCACTGAACAGGTTGTGCTCTGGCACCACAAGATGCAGAGCCAACCTTAAGAAATGGTGCCACAAAGTGGAATCCACAACATGTGAGTGTGAAGAAAAGCAAACCACAGACCATCTATTACAATGCAGGCTGAGCCCTGCCACATGCACAATGGAGGACCTTCTTATAGCAACACCAGAGGCACTCCAAGTGGCCAGCTACTGGTCAAAGGACATTTAGTATAATGCCAAGTTTTTCAACTTTGTGTTTTTAAAAATACATTACAATTGGTTTGCTTCTGATACAATAAATAAATAAATGATTTATACCCTATTTTATCTCCCTAAAAGGGACTCAAAGTGGTTTAACAAAAAAAATCAGCATAACCATTTAAAATATACAATTACACAAACATTATGACCCAGTAATTGCAGCCGTAATCCACATTGGCTGAGCAATTCTGCAAACTCCAGCCCAAAAATACAATTTTTAAAGCTCTGCCACAAAAACAAAACAAAACAAAAAAAAATAGCAGAGATTTGGGTCCCCCAGAATCAATAATTCTACCCAAAAGTCATAGAAATGGAGATGCATATGGCTGCCTACAGACATTTTAGTGACAATACCAATCTTTGATATGAAGAGGATAGACTTTTTGACTCACATTCTCCCTGCGTTGATCCTCAGTTCCTAAGATTATAGGGTAATGAATATTTGCTTCCTTTGGAACATCCAAATCACAATATCTCCCACATCCACATATTATACCAAGCACCATCAACATCTCTGGAGTGTATATGAATTTCCTGATGAGTTTGTACATCAGGAAAATATCTGATTATCTTGCAGGAACCAGTCCTGTTGACCTTCATCATCCTTTATCCTGCTTTTGCATTCATTTAACACATTTCCCCAAAAATCTGTGTACTTTTTTAGAAACGTACACTGTTGTTGTCTGTTTCAAATGTTGATGTGTTGGAAAATGTTTTTCTTCCTAGTTTCTCATAATAAATCACAATGCAAATAATGAAAACATAGAACGTTTTTCTATACCACAACTCAACTCTTAATCACAATGGAAAGCGTAGTCAAGAAATTAGAGGAGCAAAGCTTTAAAAAGGCATTCATGTAGGAACTACCCGAGATCTCCAAATGCAAGGCAACATCATTAAACACCAAAGTCAGACTCATCCATGCTACAACAGCTCCAATTTCTATGTGTGATTCAGAAAGCTTGATAAGGCTGACAGGATGACAACCAACTCATTTCAAATTTGGTGCTGGACAAGTGTTCTATGGATACCAACAATGTCAACATGAATGGGTCTCAGAGCAAATTAAATTAAATTATTCACCAGAAGCCAAGTTGACTTAACTGAGGTTTTTATACATATCCTGGGGTGATATGACTAATATGGAAAGATAAAAAAATGTCTTGATGAAGTGGACAGTAGTAGGAAAGTACAAGTAGATTGATTCAATCAAGGAAGTCACAGCCTTGAGTTTGAATGACTGTTGATCACTAGTCTTCTCTGAGGTCTTTTCTTCAAAGTCCTCACACATTAAAGCTCAACAGATGGCAAATAATGACAGCAAATCACCAGCTTTGAAATATTCAGGATTCTGATTTCTTCCATGCCTGTGTTAGGTCTGGAGGAAGAAGAATCATGCAAATCAAGAATAAACAAAGGACAAGAGGGATCCTCCCACTTCTGCAGGAGTCTACCGTATACCGTGCAGCTGTGGAAAAGTCGACATAGGAACCACCAAATGCAGCGCTCAAACATGAATCAAGGAACGTGAATGGCACTACAGACTACTTCAATCAGAAAAGTCAGCCATAGCAGAGCACTTGATGAACCAACCTGGACACAGCACATTATTTGAGAACACAGAAATGCTGGATCACTCCAACAACTACCATGTCAGACTACACAGAGAAGCCACTGAAATCCACAAACATGTACACAATTTCAACAGAAAGGAAGAAACCATGAAAATGAACCAAATCTGGCTATCAGTATTAAAAAAAACTATAAAATTATAACAGTAAAATTTATTTATTTTATTTAGTTAGAGCTTTTATAACCTGGTCTTCTCGACCTCCGAAGAGGGACTCAGGCCGGCTAACAACCAGAAATTCATACACAAATAGGATAAAACAACACTCAAACACCGGGATTGTGGCGCAGCTGGCTGAGTGTCAGCTGCATTAAGATCACTCTGACCAAAAGGTCATGAGTTAGAAGCCAGCCCTGGTTGGAGTGGGTTTCCAATCAATTGTGTGTAGCCTGTTGTCGACCTTTGCAACTCGAAAGACAGTTGCATCTGTCAAGTAGGAAAATTAGGTACCACCTTAAAGTGTGGGGAGGCCAAATTAACTGATTTATGAGGCCATAAAGAAGACTCCAACAAAGCATTCCAGCGGGGAAGCATGTGGGGAATGCGGAAGTGCTTCATCAGCGTCGCAGATGAACGATGAAAGCGACAGCTCCCCTGGCAGCCAGAAAAAGTTAAATAGCCTCTGTGTATGTCTGTATATGTTTGTATGTCAAAAATTGGCATTGAATGTTTGTCATATATGTGTACACTGTAATCCGCCCTGAGTCCCTTGCGGGGTGAGAAGGGCGGAATATAAAAGCTGTAAATAAATAAATAAATAAATAAATAAACTCCAGACAAGAAACAATCAGGGACAGCTAATCACCTCTCAACAAAGGATTCCCCCAGGCACTAAGAAGCTATACCTAAAAACAGGCCATCAAATGCTAATCAAGGTGGTCAATTGAAACATTCACACCTCGCTCCAACAGACAAGAGTTCTTTCTCCCACCCTGGACCTTCCACAGATATATAAACTCAATTTTCCTAGTTTCCAACAGACCTCAAATCTCTGAGGATGCCTGCCATAGATGCAGGCAAAACGTCAGGAGAGAATGCTTCTAGAACATGGCTATATAGCCCGAAAAACTTACAGCAACCCAGTGATTCTGGCCATGAAAGCCTACATTTGAATGAGATTTCCTACACATCCCTTTGTAGACTCAACTCCAATTTCAAACACCTTTTTCATCTGCCGACAATGCACAACTTTTGCGCCTCATGGCAAGACCCTTTCTTCAAACACTAGCACCCGGTAGATGAGGGGAGCACAACCTGCAATTCACCCAAATCTATTTTTGACAAATATATCATCCACAAAATATCTGCCAAAGGGTGCCTCAGCAAACTGCATTACTTCTACAATGTAGGCGAATGCTCAGACACTATCACCAACTCCTTTTTAATTTTGATGGCTTATGCCAAAGACAACAAGATGAGCTAGCAAGGCAGGGCAAGTAACTGACAGCAATGTAAGGATGAAGCATGTCTCTCTTACCATAGGGAGGACCCCTCTGTTCCGGTGACCTCTAAGAAGTCATATTCATCCTCCAGTTGGAAATCCAGGAACACCAGAGCAATGGTATCTCCAGGCTCTGCTAGAATGGTCCATGTGCAGTCGGCATTGTTGCTGTACTCCAAAGGGTAATGGGGGGTTGAGATAATCCCACTCTGCCCTCGGAGTGTCCCTCCACAGGCATCGTCAGCTGAAAGGCAAACACCAAAATGTGTTACGGGAATGCTGAAAGAATCTGATGGTACTCCCAACCTTTTCCCTTCAATATATTTGAAGCATTCAAGAAATGGTATAATCCGATTTGACAGGTTCAATGTAGCCAAAGGAGGAAAACACACAAGTCCATTTCTTATTTGACTTACAGCAGAGCTTTCCAAACATTTCATGTTGGTGACACACTAATTCAACATGCATCATTTTGCAACACAGTAATTCAGTTTTGCTAGCAAACAAAAGGTTGACCCAACTTCTCATAAGAGATAAAGACACATGTACAAATTGTAATAACAAAATGTACTAAGATAAAATGTATCTAATGAAAATATTTCATTTATATTTTAAGATAGTATGATTTATCGTTTATGTCACATAAACCCAAAGGTTTTTCATTACATTGTGTGACACACCTACATATTGCAACTAATACACTAATATGTCATAACACATAGATCAGAGAGCAAGCCAGACCTGGGAGATCTCATAATGCACAAAACATGATGACATGACTCCCACTCTTGCTGGAACATGGCTGCAAAAATTGTTTATCTCCATGCAAGTTCCACTTTTGCATGTTGGCTGAGCAATGACACCAACCATCCTAGAATTGAGGGGTATCTCTTCCCTACCTTTATTAAACTAAAAATATCCCAACTCTCTAATATTCTTTTGTGTTGAAGAGTTTTGTATTGAATTGTCTGAAGGTTAGTATTGAAATATGATGAAGACATGCATTGAGTTCCAGGTTTGGGAAAAGAGAGAGAGGGGATCTTGGAGTCCTCATAGACAACAAGTTAAACATGAGCCAACAACGTGATGTGGTGGCAAAAAAAGCCAATGGGATTTTGGCTTGCATCAATAGGAGTATAGTGTTTAGATCCAGGGAAGTTATGCTACCCCTCTATTCTGCCTTGGTTAGACACACCTGGAATACTGTGTCCAATTCTGGGCACCACAATTGAAGGGAGATGTTGATAAGCTGGAATATGTCCAGAGGAGAGCAACTATGAGGAGTGGCTTAAAGAGATGGGAATGTTTAGTCTGAAGAAGAGAAGGCTGAGAAGAGATATGATAGCCATGTATAAGTATGTAAGAGGAAGTCATAGGGAGGAGGGAGTAAGCTTGTTTCCTGCTGTCCTGGAGACTAGGTTGCGGAACAATGGCTTCAAACTACAAGAAAGGAGATTCCATCTGAACATAAGGAAGAATTCCTGACTGTGAGAGCAGTTCAGCAATGGAACTCTCTGCCCCGGAGAGTGGTGGAGGCTCCTTCTTTGGAGGTTTTTAAGCAGAGGCTGGATGACCATCTGTCAGGGGTGCAATTTTCCTACTTCTTGGCAGAATGGGATTGGACTGGATGGCTCATGAGGTCTCTTCCAACTCTATGATTCTATGATCCTAGGGGAAAATGCATAAAGCAGTGATTTCCAACCCTTTTGACTCACAGAAACTATCGCAGAGCCCTTAGGCCTACCCTACGTCTTACAAGTTAATGGTGTTTAGGAGTGGCGTTACATGGTAGGAAGAAAGGATAGATTGTAAGGGAATGTAAAATAAAGAGATATCTAAACAATTGCAATGAAATTATATTTTAAAAACTTTGAAATTTACTGTAGTATTTCAATTTATTCTCAACTACCACCAATACACATGATATTATCAAAACATGGCCGTACATAAAAATTATTCAAAGTGCAATAAATCAAATAATTTGCGTTACAAAATAATTAGTATGCACTGTAGTGCAACAGTAGGCCTAAATTAAGGCATAACATAATACAACGTATAAACATTTAATGAGATACCTGTAATTGCATTTTTGGCGCAGTTTTCTTATTTTTAGGTTTAATTGAAACTTTGAGTAGATTCCAAGAATTCTTGAAGAGTCGAGAATGAACGAAAAACATATTGCATGTATAGTTCTAAGAAATCACTCGGACATTCAGTTCCAGGAAAGGCCATTAAAATGTGTCATGTGGCAGAGCTGCGTGGCAAGCAGGCGCCCCGCTCATCTTCATTTTCTGCCCGTCTACTGCTACAATAATATTGGAGCTTGCGGCAGCAGAATGACCAAGCATTCTAGCCAATCAGAACTGAGAGGATCCAATGAGTTATCCCCAATAATCACAGATTCTCATCTTTACCACGTCACCCACTTCATAGGAAGTCTGCTACAAAACAGGAGCTTTTTTGTTGAAATCCAGGGCCAGAGAAGCAGATGGTGAAAACAGAAGAACGGCATGCTTTATCAATGTTTAACATTTACACAAATGATCAGCCACTGCCAGAAGGGACAGACAGTTTCATCTCTGCTGACGACCGTGCCATCACTGCCCAAGCAGGGAGCTTTGAAATGGTTGAATAGAAGCGTTAGGTGCTCTTACTGCCTATTACAGGGAAAACCAGCTGTGTCTTAATCCATCTAAAACACACACATGTGCTTTTCATCTTAAAAACAGACGAGTATCTCGATCTCTGAGGATTACCTGGGAAGGAATCCCATAGGAAAATTGAAGCACACCCAAATACCTAGGAGTTACCCTGGACCATGCTCTGACCTTCAAGAAGCACTGCTTCAATATCAAGGAAAAAGTTGGTGCTAGAAACAATATCATACGAAAGCTGACTGGCACAACATGGGGATCACAACCAGATACCGTGAAGACACCTGCCATTGCGCTTTGCTACTCTGCAGCTGAGTATGGATGCCTTGTGTAGGACACATCTCACCACGCTAAAACAGTGGATGTGGCTCTTAATGAGATATGCCACATTATTACAGGATGCCTACACCCTACATCACTGGAGAAATTACACTGTTTAGCCAGCACTGCATCACCTGGCATCCGCTGGGAAGTACCAGACAATAATGAAAGGACCAAGGCAGTGACATCTCCAGTCCATCACATTTTCAAATATCAGCCAGCATGCCAATGCCTTAAATCAAGAAATAGTTTTCTAAGATCTACAGAGACACTTCCAGGAACACCTCAGCTAGGGAGAGTCCAAAAGTGGCAGGCTAAAACTTGGAACCTCAAGCCATGGCTGATACCGAATAAGAGGCTCCCTACTGGGCCCAAAGAAGACTGAGTGACTTGGTGGGTGATGAACGGACTGCGCTCTGGTACTGCAAGATGCAGAGCCAACCTTAAGAAATGGGGCCACAAAGTGAAGTCCACAACATCCAACCCCAAATTGGGAAACAAGTCGTCCAGGAATACCTGGCCGCTCTAAATGAGTTCAAGTCCCCAGGGCCAGATCAACTACACCCAAGAGAACTGAAGGAACTAGTGGAAGTCATTTCGGAACCATTGGCAATCATCTTTGAGAGTTCTTAGAGAACGGGAGAAGTTCCAGCAGATTGGAGGAGGGCCAATGTGGTCCCAATCTTCAAGAAGGGAAAAAACGATGACCCAAACAATTACCGTCCGGGCAGCCTCACGTCGATACCAGGCAAGATTCTGGAAAAGATTGTTAAGGAAGTGGTCTGCAAACACTTAGAAACAAATGCGGTCATCGCTAATGGTCAACATAGATTTGTCAAAAACAAGTCATGCCAGACTAATCTGATCTCTTTTTTCGATAGAGTTACAAGCTGGGTAGATGCAGGGAATGCCGTGGATGTGGCATACCTGGATTTCAGTAAGGCCTTCGACAAGGTCCCCCATGACCTTCTGGAAAACAAACTAGTCCAATGTGGGCTAGGCAAAACTACGGTGAGGTGGATCAGTAATTGGTTAAATGGACGAACCCAGAGGGTGCTCACTAATGCTTCCTCTTCATCCTGGAAAGAAGTGACGAGCGGAGTGCCAGAAGCAGGGTTCTGTCCAGGGTCCGGTCCTGTTCAACATCTTTATTAATGACTTAGATGAAGGTCTAGAAGGCATGATCATCAAGTTTGCAGACAACACCAAATTGGGAGGGATAGCCAATACTCCAGAGGACAGGAGCAGGATTCAAAACGATCTTGACAGATAAGAGAGATGGGCCAAAACTAACAAAATGAAGTTCAACAGTAACAAATGCAAGATACTCCACTTTGGCAGGAAAAACGAAATGCAAAGATACAAAATGGGGGATGCCTCGCTCGAGAGCAGTGCATGTGAAAAAGATCTTGGAGTCCTCGTGGAAAACAAGTTAAACATGAGCCTACAATGTGATGTGGCAGTGAAAAAAGCCAATGGGATTTTGGCCTGCATCAATAGGAGCATAGTGTCTAGATCTAGGGAAGTCATGCTACCCCTCTATTTCACTTTGGTTAGACCACACCTGGAATATTGTGTCCAATTCTGGGCACCACAATTCAAGAGAGATATTGACAAGCTGAAATGTGTCCAGAGGAGGGCGACTAAAATGATCAAGGGTGTGGAGAACAAGCCCTATGAGGAGCGGCTTAAGGAGCTGGGCATATTTAGCCTGAAGAAGAGGAGGCTGAGAGGAGACATGATAGCCATGTATAAATATGTGAGAGGAAGCCACAGGGAGGAGGTTTTTAAAAATGCAAGGTTTTTAAACTTTGTGTTTTTTAAAATACATTACAACTTATCCCTCTGTTCACTTCTGATACAATAAGAAACATCTTTGTAAATAAAAGAAGAGGAAGTAGGAATCATTGTTCCAACTGCTCTCTCCTTGAATTGGGAGTGAACCTCTGAATCACCACCAGCTGCTAACATTATGGACTGAAATGTTGTTATGAGTCCCATCAAGCTTCTTCAAAAAATATTTCAGAAAAAAGATGTGAAATGCAAACATGCTTGTTGACGTCTATATCTATATATTTTTCAATGTCTATTTTTAGTCCGTTTTGACCAAAAATCATTTCTTCCTGAAGAAATCCTTCCTGTAAACATGTCGCCTTTTTAAAAAAAACCAAAAAAAAAACCACCTAACTCTATTTGTATCTATGTATAGATGCAGATATAAATAGATGTTTATTTTTGTTTTTTTTTTTCAAAAAAGCAGATTCACTGC